CGCATCGCTGCAGCTCCAGAAACCTGCACAATGCTTAGCTTAGGAAGCACTCAACAAACACCCATGATAAATGAATACCTGAATAAATACTGCGGTGAGACCGGGCTTCTATGACACAGAAAATCGGTAAGAAACTAAATTCAGATTGGACACAAACATCTTTGCTGTAAAACTATATTTCAGAAGAAAATCAAAAATAATGTACAGAATTGAGGGAAAGCATGGTGGTATAAAATTTCATCATTAGCTAATCTGTCATTCACCTGTGTAAACACAATATAAAAGATATGTTGCAAAATTCAAGGGCTTTTTCTACTCCTTTCGAAAAAATTCCTTGAAGTAATTCCCAGAAGGTTAAAAACAATCATTCAGATCATGAACTCAAGAATGGGATCAAGAATCAGAATAAAAGGGCTGGGAGTGATCCTAGTTTTAAAAATCCAAGTTTAAGCATTATAGTCTGATTCATAAATGTCAACAATTACTTATAAGATAATACTACTTTTATGGCATATGAATTAAGAAATAAAATCCTTTGGAAATTGGAAATAAAACTTAAGGTCATATAAGTAAAAATCAGAAACTGAAAAAAATAAAGAAAAAAAGGAAATGAAAATACGCTAAATTCCTTATCAAATGCTTAGAGTGAAAAATGTACATTAAATATTTTACTTGAAAACCTTCAGTTTTGTTTTAAACTTCTATTTTTCTCAGTTCTTTTTTATTTATAGTCTTTTACTATATTAGCTAGTTTTTATTTGCCTTTTCCTTCCCCAATGAGTAGGGAAAAAACACAGAAAGTAAAAAAAAAAATGATGTACACAATTCTTTGTTATTTAGGGAGAATCCTGACCCTTACTCCCTGATCTCCTTCCATCAAAGGCACTTACATGTCCACCCCAGCTCTGGAGCTAACTATCTATAAAGGTTTACAGGTTCACATGGGCAACATCATACAGACACTGCAGGTGTCAGACAGAAACAACAGTCTTGCTTGATCTCATTCTCACCCAAACTCATCAGCTTTGGTGAGGGAAACTGTGTTAGTGGATAATTGTTTAGGAAACTTGCAGTTTATGCTTTCTGTAAGATATTCCAAAATCTACTTGTGAATTAAGACTTCAGAGACTGAGTGTACAGACTATTTTAAATGGTACCTACAGGACTAGTTCTGATGAACTAAACTTTCATGGTCATTAACTCTATGGAGGGAAGCCATTAGAAATCACTGTAAAACTCTTCATTGGTTATAATGTAAGGATAGTGCAGATAAAAGCAGAGTAAACTGTTCTGCTATACAAATCTTCAGAAATACTGAGACAGACATTTTCATATGTGATAATTAGTATTATCGTTATATTATGATTAACACAACTTTACAAAACTACAGTTATAATACAAGTATAAAAATATACTACTATATAATAATTTATACTATAAAATAAATAAGTATAAATTATGCAATAAAACCATAGTATATCATAAATATGTATCTTATGATAAAATCTAATGGTTAGTATCATTCGTGCATAGCTAAATTTATTTCTCTAGAGCAAATTTATTCTTTTTTATCTTACAAAAATTGAGAATTATGGAATTATTCCATGTTTTCATTACCAGAACTGCTAGAAAGTTTAGATCCAAGGAAACATATGATCCAATAAAATATAACATGATCCAAATTTACACTGTAGAAACTTTCTGTATATTCGAGTAACTTTGAAATAATTAAAATGAAAGCAACATTTCATTGCCAAAAGAGAACAATACTCTTAGCCACTTCACACTATTGACAACTACAGAGGCATTCTTACTGCTACGGTCTTCTTCGTCGAGGGAATCCAACATGCTTTCTATTGTTTCGTTATTTTCAAATGGAGTCCACACACACTTATGCTTCAGGTTGCCCATGAAGAGCTGCAGCCCAATCAGAGCAAACACGCTCAGACAGAACACAGTCAGGATCATGACATCCGAGAGCTTCTTCACTGATTGGATCAGGGCTCCCACGATGGTCTTCAGGCCTGAAGACAGGGGGGAAAAGATATTCGAAATGAAATAAAGACTCTGAATGAGAAATGAAAACAAAACACAGACTTTCCGAGAAATGCATGCATTTTATCAAATCAATGATAACCTAGTTCAAAAACAGCCTACCAGCTCAAAAGGGTGGATTTGCTCATCTATTTTGTTTCTTTGTATATTACAGCAAATGACTGAACACTGTAAAATATTTCCAAAGAACAACCAACCTGTCAAAATGAACAGTTAGCTCAAACCATGCCCACACTCACTTGTAAAAATAATTTTTTAGAAGTGCCAATTCAGTGAATGGTTGTCAAACAAACCATCTCTTTATAGAATGACACCAAAACAGAAAAGAGGCTGACTTGGAGCAGATAGTGACAACTTACTAATTTTCAGTTAAGAAATGGTTTGTTGAGGAAAGAAAAAACATAACGTCATGCAATCCCCCCATGCTGATATTTTGTAGCTTTTTTCTCAATTATATAGAAAGCAATTCAAACAAATTGAAATTTTCATTCCTGGATAAGCAAAATGGAAAATGAACTGTTAGACAGGAGGGAAAATTTCAAGTTGAGATGTGAACCAATGTCCATCTTCATCCTCTTAAACCCATGCAATTGATTAAACTCAAAGGCTGACTTTTAATAATTATTGTGAAAAACACAAGGGATCAAATTTAATTAAGACTGCATAAAAGAAAGTTTTTCTTGTCTTTCCTCCAAGACATCAAAGTCAGCCCCGGTGTTTAACCCCACTCTCACCTGGAATGACTGAAATTGTTTTCAAAGCTCGGAGAACTCTGAACGTTCTCAACGCTGAGACATTGCCCAGGTCCACAAACTCTGTCACATATCTGTAATAGGGGGGTTTATACACAAACACGGTGACAACACACACACAAACGAACAAAGAACAACTCCCAGATAGTTGGAGTTATGAGTGGCCTAATGCTTCACACCAATTACTTCTTACCTGGGATTACAGAAATAGTTTTCAAAGCTCTCAACACTCTGAAAGTTCGAAGAGCTGAAACATTGCCTAGGTTTACAAATTCTGTTAAATACCTGTAGAATTAAATCAGAGTTATTCAGAATTTAGACAGAGTCTATGATACTTACCTGTGCCTTTAGTCAAGGTATTTCCTATGTTTGGAACTTCTTATTCAAATTTATAGTTCTGCAAGTCTTTTGTTTCTATCATTACTAATTTAATTTGATTTGATTTGAGTCATTTGATGTGAGCAAAATACAATATTATGAAAATGGTTTCATACATTTAAATGCCTAAATAATTAAGCGC